AAGATTGACTGTAACGTTTATCTTCCTTTTTTATAACATTATTTCCTCTATTGTAGTTCGCTACGTGTTGCTTAATAAATCCCCAGTTCCAATCTCCGGAGTTCTCCCGAGCTTGTATATTACAATATTGGCGACCCTGCCGAGGCACGTTCATCAGGAATCCTGTATCACTGGTCTAATGAAGATAATGCCGAAGACAACCGACAAAGCCGATGATGAAAGTAATTTTGACGCTAATAACCTGACGTCAAAGCTCGCCGCTTCGCTCGATGTGTTATCATGGGCTTTGTAGAAAATGTCCACTTCACCAACTTTTTCAACCAGCATGTCATCTATCCCGCCGCCAGAACGCTTTACCCTGGGGATGCTGTACCCCAGGTGGGAAAAGCAAGTCCAGTTTTATCTGCGTCATTTCCCATCCAACCAACAGACAGCTGTGCTCGCCGGCCTGCTCTCGGGAGAGGTCTTTGATAATTGTTGCAGGCAGTAAACTTTTGGGGAAAAAGTAACAACCGAGACTTTTTCCGCCATGCGCCGATTATTAGCCCACCCCGGTCTACCTGCGCCCCTACGCAGGGCATTCCATGCACGTTACCAATATCCGGGGGAAACCATCCGCACATACATTCGCGAGCTGCAGAGGATGGTCGATATCGCATACGAGAACGAAACGCCAGACGAACGTGAAAAACTGGTCTTAGGGCAACTCCTAGAGGGCATTCAAACGCCGTCTATTAAAAGGGAGTTCCTGCGATACCCTCCCCGCCGTTTGGACGAAGCATTGGAAACAGGTGATCAGTTGGAAGAAATAGATGCAGCGATGGGTACATCTACATCTGGCTGTTTTGCTGTAAGAGGGAACACACGACCCAGACGCGTCCTACCTGAAAGAATGACGGGAAAACCTGGCCATCTTCGGAGATATCCCGCCCCACGACGACCGGCACAATCAGGTTTTCGTTGGCCCCGCAGACAAACGTCATACCGCGGATCGTCTCGCTACAGGAACACGCCAGGTGAGCATGCCATGACATCATTTGTGATACCATCTCTTACTTGCAACTCGATTGTGACGTCGCTAACACTAGAATTATCGATAGCTGGGATTTGCTTACTGGGGCTAGTAGATACTGGCGCAGCTAGAAGCATAATCAGGGCCAGCGTGAGTAGGAGCTACTCAAACTGTGTTAGAAAACCTTGTAACACTCGCCTTACCGCGGCCAACGGGCTAGCACTAGTTGTTCGGAACTCCATCGTTGCCCCCGTTGTTGTAGCCTGCACAACGTTTAACCATGAATTTATCGTTGCTGATGGGATACCGTTCGATGTTATCATCGGAATAGATTTGTTGAGGAGGTTAAAATGCCGACTTGACCTGGAGAAGTCCCAACTAATCACTGATTCGTGCACCATACTACTGAGAGCATGCGGCAACAGCAATTTTGAGGATTTTACGTTATATGAGTGCAGTATCAAAAAGCAACAATGTGTAGACGATTTTATTCGGTCGATTGGGCTTTCAGCTGACACATTAACACAGGCACGATTAGTGCAGGTCCTACAAAATTATTCAGACGCCTTTGCATGGAAATCCGGCGATTTGGGACGGACCGGACTGGTGAAACATGCTATTGACACTGGTGTGGCTAGACCGATTAAAGTGCCTCCGAGACGTATTCCAATCCACTGGCAGGGTGAGATAAAAAAGCTGATAGATGAGATGTTAGAGAATAACGTTATCTAACCCTCCAACTCCCCGTGGGCATCTCCTGTTGTCCTGGTGAAGAAAAAGGACGGTGGCTTCCGATTATGCGTCGATTACCGAAGACTGAACGAGGCTACTCGAAAGGACGCCTACCCACTCCCAAGGATCGACGATCTGTTCAACGCACTTGGCGGATCTGTGTATTTTAGCACACTTGACCTGGCTTCCGGTTACTGGCAGGTGGAAGTAGAAGAGAGCGATCGAGCGAAAACCGCCTTTGTCGTGCCCTCCGGGTTGTACGAGTTTCAGACCATGCCATCTGGCTCATCTAACGCTCCAGCTACCTTCCAACGCCTTATGCAAAAAGCATTAGCCCACCTGATTCCGCGTAAATGCCTGGTGTATTTGGATGATGTCATCGTATATGGAAAGACGGAAGATGAACACTTGGACAATTTGGCGTGTTTTGGAATGCTTGATGAGAGTGGGATTAAAGCTTAAGCCCTCAAAGTGTCATCTCTTGAAAAGGGAAGTGGCGTACTTAGGGCATATAATATCTGGAGATGGTATTCGAACGGACCTAGTAAAGGCTGAACAGGTCAGATCGTGGCCAACACCAACCACTACGGAGCAGTTACGTAGTTTTCTCGGGTTAGCATCATATTACCGGCGATTTATTCGAAACTTCTCCTCCATTGGAGCCCCATTACACGCATTGCTACAGAAAGGTCGAATGGTCGAAGCAGTGCGCAGAAGCTTTCAATCATCTACGTGAATCTCTCTGTACGGCCCCTTTGCTAATATTTCCCGATTTGTCCCCGTCTGCTGGCCAGTTTATCTTGGACACTGATGCGAGTGATAAGGCGATTGGAGTGGTGTTATCACAACTGGGATCGGATGGTGTCGAACGAGTCGTGGCATATTGTAGTCGCAGTCTTAGCCCGAGGAAGCGAAATTACTGCACGACTAGGAAAGAGATGTTGGCATTGGTATATTTCATCAAACAAAACCGACACTATCTATTAGGTCAAAAGTTCCTGGTCCGCACAGACCACCAATCACTTCGGTGGCTGCAGAATTTTAAAGATCCAGAAGGCCAAATCGCGCGTTGGCAAGAGCAATTGCAGGAATATGACTTTGAGTGCAGACATCGCCCCGGTAAGCAACACGCTAATGCTGATGCATTGTCACGAATTCCCCCTCGCAACCATGGAGAGTGCCCTTCGTGTAATACGCAACACGTAGCAATCGTCAATCTTCAAGGAGCAGAGTATGGTCGGTGTCAAACGGCACAGGCGAACGATCACGATACCGCATTGATCTACGAGAGGCGTCTTAATGGCGGCGACAAACCAACGAGTAAAGAGATGGAAGGGAAAAGTTACGAAGCTCGTTGCATTTGGGCCATGTGGGATTACCTGACCACCGAAGAAGGGGTTTTGGTTTTCAATTTCAGACCGACGTACACGAGAAGAATCATCGTCCCGCACACTATGGTTAGGGAAGTACTGAGCGATTTACACAAGGAAATGGGACATGCAGGGATCAATAAAATGGACGAAGCGGTTCGACGACGATTCTGGTGGCCCCATCAACGGAGAGATGTGATCAACTACTGTCAAGCGTGCGAAGAATGTGGTGCCTTTAAAAACCCTCGTATCGTTCACCGTGCACCCTTGCAGCCCATGGTGACCGGCTATCCTAACGAGATAGTAGGAGTGGATCTCATAGGCCCTTTACCTGAGACGCCACGAGGTAATCGCTTTATTTTGGTCATGATCGATTACTTTACTACATGGTGCGAGGCTATACCGATAGGACATGCGGATACGTCTACTGTGGCAACAGCTTCGGTAAATCATTGGGTCTGCCACTGGGGTGCACCAGGGCAGCTACAATCGGATAAAGGATCGTGCTTTGAGAGCTCACTGGTAATTGAAGTTTGTCGGTTACTTGGAATAGACAAAACTCGAACCACAGCGTATCATCCTCAAGGAAATGGGCAAGTGGAAAGAACAAATCATTCTTTTAAATAGTTGCTGAAGGCCTTCGCGGACAGGAATATCAATGAGTGGGACAATGTGTTGCCCAGATGCCGACTTGCATACAGGAGCACAGTAAGTTCATCGACGGGACAGACACCATTCCTTATGTGGACGGGAAGAGAGGTACGATTACCTTCGGATCTACGTCTACCGATGACGCAACAGCTACAGTCGTCGGTTATGAAATATGTTAGCACGTTGTTAGACTCCCTTTGGCAGTCTCATCAGTCAGCACGAGTGCATTTGGGGAATGCACACCGGCGTCAGAAGGAATATTACGACAGGAAGGTATTTGGCGTACCCCTTAAAGTTGGTGATTTAGTTTGGTTACACCAACCTCAAGCATCAGGAGTGCCGGCAAAGTTTCACAGAGAGTGGACGGGTCCATATACGGTAGGACGAGTGCTCTCTGAGGCCACCTGAATGATAAAGGATCGTAACAACCCTAATAGTCAACCTATAGTTGTCCATTTCAATCGCCTCAAACCCTGTAGACGAGAAGCTGAGTCAGTTGAGTCAGAGAGGGCAGATTCACCACCAGTGGTCGCTCGTGAACTTGAAGTACCAGCTGAGGGGGGCTACGGGGTAGCACCGGGGACGGCGCTCGAAGGTGGGAGAGTGTAGTGTAGTGTGGAACGGAAACTGTTGTGGCGCACTGCTTGACTTTGAACTGGTGCTCACGCTGCGCTCTCATTTGCCTTGCAGGAACCTAGTCGTGTGCTTTAACGGAAGTGCAAGCAGAAGAAGATTGACTGTAACGTTTATCTTCCTTTTTTATAACATTATTTCCTCTATTGTAGTTTGCTACGTGTTGCTTAATAAATCCCCAGTTCCAATCTCCGGAGTTCTCCCGAGCTTGTATATTACAATACAATCTGTTGCATAGCGAAAAAGGTTTGAGGAGAAGGTGTAATCGGGGTCTCTTCAAACTCATGTGATGGTGCAAATGAAACAGAATTGTTACAAAAACAAAACCCAGGAATGTGACATAAGTACCTTTAAGAGCAGTATAGGGTTTCGGTGTGGCTCTCTTCCATCCCTGCATTTGGAAGAGACAAGTCAGCGTAACCCAGCGCATCATGGGGACAGGTAAGTAACCATATCGAACTGCTTTCACTCCGATAGCACAGTAAATGCAGTGAAACGTGTATAGTCAACGATATAAAAGTATACGGAAAATATTGCCGTCAGGGCGGGCAAATTCGTAGTAAACAGGATGGGACAGCCGACCACTTGCAGACGTCTCTTACCTTCAAGGAATCCGTCGTTTTTTGCGACGTGGGTTGCTTTGGTTTTTTGAATAAGCGTAAAATCTGCGGTCTGGGTGGTACGATACAATCAGAGAGAAAAACTAGAACCTGAAGAGCAATAAGACGGCATGAAAAATGATAAGCACAAACTAACCAGACCCAACACCAGACCGAATAAGACTGTCCCAGAGCCAATGATTGCGAAAGATGCCCATGTAGGATACCCGGCTTGAAGCAGGTATTCATGAATACGCTAGTGGACGAAAATGAAAGACAAGAATAACAAAGCGATGGTATACACCCACTGTGATCGTCATCCCCAGTTCCATGAAGCGGAAGAAGGCTCGCATGCTAAACACAGTTGAAATAATGGTGAGTTACAGACGTACTGCATAGCTGAGGGCGAATAGTACCATGGAATCGGATCGACTTTTTCATACGATGCGTCGGTTAAAAATTCCTTCAAATCTGTAAAAGTTCTGGACCCATTGTATGTTCGGAATACCCCATCTTTGGCACTGAAACGAAGATGAGACTGGGGTCAATGGGAAAGGTCGATTAAACGTCCGTAAACAAAGAAAGATAAACAGGGGGAAACTTATGGCTACCCCATATCACAATATAATCTGCACACTTCGGAGTAAAACTGTGGAATGACAGTCAAACTTGTAAAAGAAAACAGATGCATAACGGAATGTCAAGCTAGTGTTCTTGTCAACGTCTAATATCAAAGAAAAGTGAGATAAATGCAATAAACGTAAAGCATCACCGTAAAGTGAGACTCCACCGCTTATATCTTTCCGTCCCAGGGTGGTGGAGGTTGGAGCACTAGGTAAGTTCTCCAAAGCCAACAGCAGGCAATGCTCTTGAGGTGGTAACTCTTGGAAGGCGCACACTTATACACAACCTAATCTCGGATAGGGAGAGTCAATACGCGAAAATATCGTTCGGGCTTGTAAACAGTAAACGCAGTAAATGTAGCCCGGAGAAAAATTTCTAACCTTTGCGACCAGGTGTATCGGCGAAGTACCATCACCTTTATGGTGGATGGGACCCACAGCATCAAAACAAAATGACGAATTTTGAATGAACACTAGTGTCATGATATTATGGCTCATATCTAGTGTAAATGTCATCGATTATGATCAACTTGTCGATGGCGCACGTGGTCTGTGAAAACCTGATACAATTAGATCACGCGTCCGGCGTTGGTGGGTAGAACCGCTTAGAGCTAGGGATGATCCAGGTATAGAATAGAGATGGATAGAGCCACCAAAATCACTGATGCAGTAGTGTAACAAAGTGACAAAAGAAGGAAAACAGAGTGGAAGATCTTCTAAGTGAGAAGTGAGTGGTCCGGAATGAAAGAACAACCTCAGGTAATCACATATGATATGTGCACTAGTGTGCCAAGGATCCAACTGTTGCAATTCCAGTAAAAGTATGCCGAATCCTGAAAGCAAAGAGCTAGAAGATATGTCAGTGTACCTTCTTTTAGATATTATCAGGAAGCAAGCGATAAATCGTTTATTGCCGCGCATTGTCAACATATAACAGCTATTCAATGTCAATTCAGGAGGTGCAAATACCACAAATGACAGAACGACTAGGGTGATCAGCCAAAGCCTTCGAAAAAGTATACACCCGAAGGACAACGGGTCTAGCACATGGTCAATTCACCGACTCAACGAATTGGTATATATATGATTGGCGGCATCCGGTTCCGGATTTGCTTCTCACAGTGGCCAGCCACAGGACGCCTGCGTCTACAGAGGGACCATGGATAACTTGCGCTGCACCACCCACAGCTCCAACCACACACCACAGATCCAGCGCAAACCCGAAGGAATAAGACCGGGAGGCATGTGGATGGCAGCCACGTTTCACCAACGAAGCCGGACTACAATCCTTTACAGGCAAACACAAGCACGCTGTATTTGAGGAATCAAGCGCACACAATGCGGTGGATGGACTGTAGTCCGCTCCACACTGAGTGCATGGAACCGCTCTTTGAGCCTAGCACGACCACAAGGACCGTTAACCCAGTCTCCTCCAGCAACGACCAACTGTCTCCTGGAGCCATTATGAACGTAGTGGGTAGTAGACAGGTAGACACCTTGTCAACATGCACATCAAGCGCAGCCACACCGGGGATATCAAGCAACAGCCATTCACTTTAAACGACAAGCTGAATTAAAATATACCAACATAATGCATACAGACACAGTGGCACTACTCTTCGCTAAATTACCATTTGAAGTAAGTTGGTTAGCAACGAGTCCGCGATAAGTAAGAAATGTCCACAAGTTACTCAAAAATGCTACAAACGAAACAAAGTTACCAAAGATAAGCGCAATTAGCGTAAACAACGTGGCCAGTTAATAGAAAATTATTCAGGTAGGCAGAAGTGGAATGAAATTTATCCAGCTTAAAAAGATCTAGTTTAAGTGTAAGTTGGTTTAGCCAAACTACGGTGAAGAAGCATCAAGAATGCAATATATATATATATATATATATATGTATATGTATATGTATATGTATATGTATATATATATATATATATATATATATATATATATATATATGGCTGGCTTGCCGAACAACCTCGTGGTGCCAGCTGGGTGGTTCGGGATTATCCCGTTCCAGCGAATCGTTCGGCGGCAATGTTTCAGGACGTGGTGAGTTTTCACCTGAAACGCGTTCTCCCTATAAAAAGTCACATATGTCCGTTTTACAACACTGGGACGTGGCGGATGTGACTCGCCACTTTCCCCTTGTCTCCCTCTGAGCGGCATTGTAATTAAAGGGTGCCTTGAGACTCCGTTCCTATGCAGTCCTAAAGGCGTATGAACCACTTGTTTGGTCACCGGCTCCCAACGGGTTGCGATATCCTCATATGGCCCTGCTGCCTTGTAGGTTAGATACTGAATCAAAGGCTTGAGCTGGGGCGCCCTAAGACAACCCTCTACTTCGGCCTGGGCAACCGGGTAGTATCGCGCCCACTGACGAATCATGAATGGGTTACGCTACTGCTTTCTCTCTTGCTAGGTCTACTGGCTTTACGGTCTCTGTTGCTCAACATCCGCTCACAGATCGTCCCACGTCCTGTTCCTCAACTGCGCCTATGTCTTTCCAGGTCACCGTCAACAACAGCTCAGTGGTCGCATCTGCCAGAGTTCTGAGTCAAACGTTTGGTGTTCGTTGTCCGGGGGTCACACTATCCTCGCACTCAACCGAAGCCCAAGCTTTCCTTCGTCCTGGTTCTCCATACGGTTTTGCAGCGTTCAATGTGCGCACTCTGATGCAGATCAGACGACAAGCATGTCTGGCCCGCACCCTTAAAACACTCTCAGTGGATATCTGTTGCCCTTTCGAAACCAGTTTGCAAGACGCCAGTACCGTTTCAGAATGACATCTCCGGAAAACCCTGACGTCAAATACCACTTGTGCCTTTCCGGAGACCCAGAGGGCGCCGCTTCTAGCCAAGCTGGTGTCAGAGTTGCACTGAGTGACAGGGCTGAGGTCGCTTTGCTTGACTGGATCCCAGTCAACAGTCGGTTATTTGTAGTCAGACTACGAGGTTCATGTAAGTTAAGTAAACGTCGAGATGCTACGCGTGCCTTGCTTGTCTTCTCCGCCTACGCTCCTACAGACTGCAGCCCGGATGCAGTCAAGGATTGCTTTTACAAACAGCTACATAACCTTCTGCGTTCCGCTAAAAGGACTGACATTACCATTCTTGTCGGAGATTTGAACACACGAGTGGGCTGTCTGCCGCCAAGCGAGCACCATCTTGGGGGTATTTTTGGCCTCCGTAGCAGTCGATCAGACAATGGAGATAGACTGCTGGCACTTTGTTCTGATCATCGCTTGTTTCTTTCGAGTACAAGTTTTCGTCATTCGAAAATACAGACTGTTACCTGGCGTCTGCCTTCTCAAACAAAAGAATGGTCCCAGCCTGATGACATAGCAACAAGATACAGATAGTGCGGACGCGTAACAGACTGCCGATCGTACTGGTCAATTTGTCTGGACTCCTATCACGCACTCATTCGCGCCAAAAATTGCATGACCTTCGGAGGATCATCCAGATTTACGCAATACCGACCGAACGTCGAAAATCTGCAACATCCTGGGACGTTAGCCAAGTACCAGGCTTCTCTGTCAACACTACCTACTTCATCCTCAGACCATGGTCTCAATTCGCAATGGGTGCCCATCAAAGACGCTTTTATTTTTGCCAGTACTGTTAATTGTGCATATGTTTGTTACCACCCGAAAAGCTGGATCACCACTGCCACCTTGTCGCTGATGGACAGACGCCGCTTGATCCCAGCCGGCACCAGCTGTAGTGAGGAACGCCGATCCCTGGATCGAGTGTTGCGTAGCAGCTTACAGTAAGATTGTGAGGCCTGGTGGTGTGGACATGTTAGAGAGCTTGAACCTGCTAATCTCTGGTAATTTTAAGAGAGCAATAACGAACAACATTTTACGGGATAGTCTGAATTCAGATTATTTCGTGTCTTCTCATTCAGCCGCTTGCAGACAAATCGTGGAAAGAGTAAAGGAATGCAATTGAAAAAGGGGTCAATAAAAGAATCAATAAAACACTGAGAAAATCCAGGTCATCGCCTACGTCTTACCAGGGCAAGGCAAGACTGGTGATTTTCTCCTTTACTGCTGAAATGTTTTGCTCACCAGCTAATGTGCCAAGATGACAATACGTTCATTAAAACTGTCTTCTTGTGATTTCCATGGAATTGTTTGGCTCTATGTTTATTCAACTGACTGCTGGCTAGACACACATACATACCTATGGAGGCCGCAGTGACAAACAAATCCGGAAAGCGGATGCCGCCAACCATGTATGTTGCGCATATTATATTCCACCACAGTTGGGCTTGAGTAAGTCAAGCTTAGCTTTTTCCGCATTCCACTAGATCCGACCAAGACAGTTTTACAGTCCAAGCTGCTCTGGCGACCACGTGTCTATGGCGAGCAGCCAAAAACATCCTCAACATTTTCTCCTATGAGGAATGTCCTTATGCATGAACTTGGCTACGGCGACCATTTTGCGTCGGTCACCTGAGTGGTCGCCTTGGACAGATTTGAGTGTAGTTAAATTGCTCGGTTCTTTTTAGCCTCCGCATATTCCCTGTTTGTTTAGCGCGTTCTTCTCTTTCATCTTGATGTTTGTCTATTGATATCTTTTGATTTCTACTTATACTGAGAGAATGAGACTATATTAAAGAGCAAGTGGAAAAGTTTCTGTGCAATTCTATCGAATTATGAAAAATCAAAAACATTTAATTGCGGATTGTCAGCGGTAGTGTTTGGGCAGTTAACCGTTTATCCTTGTTCGGTTAGGAATCCGTATTGATGTTAAGAGTAAAGGGTATAGGACGTATTTTTTTTGGTTTGTATATGCACCGTTTCACAAAAGCACAAGTTTTCGAAATAATGGTCGATACGTGTCTTGAAACCTTTCCCAGAATCCTTCTGGTAGGGTATTCCATAAGTTTATAATTCGTCGCTCCATACAAAGTTGATCTGATACCCCATTTATGCCTGGGACTCTGAGTTTGTAGTGGTGTCCTGGAGTGTTACAGGGTTCCCGCAGGTGAAATACCGGCCGCAGTATGGGGAAGTGATTCAGGTGTAGTATTCGATGGGTCGATTCCTAATCGGCAGTAGGATAGTGTGTAGAGTCCGAGCCTTTTACAACATTTTCATATGGAAGCTTTCGTAGACTGGGAATCATTCTAGTTGTTATGTGTTGTATTTTCTCCAGCCTCTTCGTTTCCCACTGGGTTATCGGATGGTAAGCTGGGGCGTCGTATTCAAGGATTGGACTGATGAGCGAGGTGAATAGGCGAGCGACGGTTTCCTTCAGACCATGTGGAGAAACTGTCGTAATGCTCAGAGCGTACAAAGTCCCGCACGGTACAACTTCTCAGTATTTTCTAGTGATCTCACATCATGTCATGAGAGCACCCCTAAGTCTCTGACAGATGTGTTGGGGTGAAACAGCTGGCCGTCTAAGGTGCATGACCGAGTGGTTGCACGTCTGGTTATACTGACGAACTCCGACTTGCTTGCGTTAAAACGGTTGTATTTCAGTGGACCGCGTTGACAGTCGACCTAAGTCATGCTGGAGGTGAGCGCAGTCGTCCTGGTTCTCAATGATTCTCCAGATTTGCAAATCATCTGAAAACAGGGCACATGGTAACTGGAGCTGCTGCGGAAGATCGTTGATGTGAATAAGAAATAATACTGGCCCAAGTACAGTTCCCTGAGGCACGCCACTAATCGATGGGAACCAGTCTGTCAGGTAGTCACCGACCTGTACTCTAAACTTCCGCCCCACAATACACTAGTGTAAGTACAGAAGTACCATGCCACCGATTCCGTAGGTCTTCAGTTTACGAAGGAGTACCTCGTAGTACCTTTGTCAAACGCCTTACTAAAGTCGATGTACACCACATCAATATGTATTCGTTCGTCGGGAGCTTGTACCCACTGGTGGTTTGCGTACATTAAGTTGGTGATGCAAGATCACTGTTTCGTAAAGCTACGTTGCGCTGGCGCAAATATGTCGATCGATTCGAAGTACGACAGCAGACACTTTTTGACAAGCTTCGCAATAACTTTAGATAATGTCGAAGTCAAACAGATCGGTCTATAGTTCTCTACTTTACTCGGATCACCACCCTTGGGAAGCGGTCTCACTACCGAGCATTTCCAGTCATTGGGGAAAGATCCTTCAGAGAGTGATTTATTGAATAGGTTTGTCTCAGCTGGCGAAATTATATTCCATAGGGACTTAAGTATCAGTGGGGGAAGTCCGTCTGGTCCGGGGGGTTTTACATCATCGAGGTTGACGAGTGGTTGATACACTTCGTCTGCACCACATCGTAGACTGTCGAGCAAAACTGGCGTAACCTGTGCCGGTACCGGAACAGCCGCCAATTTACTAGGAAAGTACCGTAAGTGCGAGGTCAAGGCGTCGGTGCGCTCCGCGCTTGGAATGAGCGTCTGTCCGTTCAAGCTCTCTAAGACCGGTAGGTCGCCCCCAGGTTTCAGTTGACGTTTCAAGTAGGCAAATATTCTACTGGGGGTGGTTGTGACCGAGGCTGCTAGCTCCTCTTCAAACTGCCGGCGTTTCTTGATCTCTGTGGTGTCACATAAGTTTCTTGTACACCGTGTTATCTTCATCACAGCCTGAGCTGATGTATCTATCACAAAGTTTGCGACGCCATCGTGCTAACTGTCTATATTCCCTATCAAACCAATGCGGTTTGACAGGTCCAATTTTTGAATACTTCAGGGAAATGAACCGAGTACACAGTGAGTCAAGCTTCCCCTTCATTAATGACCAACAGGCCTCAAGTGAGGCATTCTGTGGTAGTGTCCAATCAGTCTGATTGGTGATTTGGACGAGCCCGGTGAAGTCCGTTTTCCAATAGTTGAAGGTCGGCTTCTGTTGGTTGTAATACGGTAACGGCAGTTCTATGCTTGCCACAGTAGAGCAGTGGTCACTGTTCGCTAGAGGTTCGAGGACCCTGACATCTTCCAGATTCTGCTCGCAGCTCGTAAACATTAGGTCCAGACAAGATGCCGAGTGCGGAGTTATGCGCGTCGGTTGGATAAGTTGCGTTGCTCCGATTTCAGTGGTTATTTTAGCGTATTGAGCCCCAACGTCGCCATGACCGGGAAGAAGCTGAACCTCCGGTCAGAATATCTTAGGTAAATTTAGGTTCCCAAACAGTGAAAAATGAGGGTAACTCATGTGCTTCTGTACATGTGGTAGCCAATCGCAACAACCGTTTAATGGGTTACGGTAGACAACACCCACTATTAATTCTGCGCGTCTGAGGCAGATTGAGTACCACAGTTATCCTCGCTAGAATAGGTGCTGATAAGTTTGCCAGATAGTGACGATTTGATGTACAACAGAGCATCACTGAGCCTTTGATTTTCGGTTGCATTGGAAACAAATATCCTGACAACGCGACTTCTCTAAGTATGACGTCGGAGTTCAGCTAAGTCTCTGCAAGTTCTAAGTGAAGCAGCTCAGTTCGTCACGTTTGTTCATTAGGCTGCACACGTTGACGAATGACACACGGAAGTCCTGGGAGGTACCGCAGGAGGTGCCGGAAGGTCGAGTAACCGGTTGATATGGATTCGTACACCCTTTTTGATCACCCGAAAATTTACAATGTGTAAGTCAGCCACCACTTCATCTGTACGGGGCGTTTGAACTCAAGTACCGCAGTCTTCGAATAATCCACGTTTTCGGGTTCCAAGCCGCGGTGGATGTGAATCTTTATGCCTTTCAGCCTTGACGGACGAGACAGTATGAGTTGCGGCATATTATGATTTACACAGGTGATTCTCAGAGGCCGACATGACTGTTTAGTTTGCTGGCCAAGTCGGACTACTTGTTTAATCGTCACACTGTTTTCACTCACATCCAAGAGTCTATCGATGAGCACCTGGAGGAATTCAACATCGTGATCATAACGTATCTGAGAGTTTTCATCTTTTGCCTGGTGCGTTGAAGACCATGAGATTATGACACCACATCGAAATCGGTGGTGAAACCGTGGGAATAGGATTAGAAGTGTCTATCGGTTTGGATTGTTATTGCTGTTTACCAGCAGGGGGTGCTTGAACTCGGTTACGTGGTCCATTGCCCTTTAGAGTGGTCTATGGATCTCGGTATTCAGACAGGCTCTGAGAAATTCACGGACCGATCAGTGAAGCGGCATTTCTAAAGTTCCGAGTCTGAGTCTTCAATCCGTGGGCAACAATGAACCGGAGAATCGGGCGGGGTCGAAGACGCTGGCGGTAGTGCAGATCGAAGTGTCAGGAGAAGGCGAGTTGACAGGTACTTTCATGGGGGAGTTTGACCACATGAGATGAACGGTGTGTTTCCCCTGTAAGAGATGCTTTCCTGCAGTCGTTGGCGGTCACTGTGTATTTCGAAGCCTTGAACCGTGGCACTTATCACACATAACTTGCAAAAACCGATGCGGGATGTCGAGAGATTTTCTAGAGACGTTAACGGATAAGCGAACACAGGAAATATAGAACAAAACATCACCGCCGAAGCACCGAAGTGTATGAGCCTTATGCCCAACAACTTTCGTACACGAACCAAAAGTAGCTTGTGACGGTATCACAAGGTAGAACAAATCCAATATGGCGGACACAGGAGGCAGTCGGGCCAAGCAATGAGATCTCCGGAATTAGCCGGAAAATATCCAACAAATTGGCACATATTGGAAAATAAACAAAAAATGCTGGTACACGATTACACAAAAACACGTATAACACAGTAATCCGAAGTAAGAGTAGAATCCAGCACACGGTGACTAAAAATTCCGCGGCGTCCGTGGGTACAGCCAAACAAAACGCGCTTGCCAAGATCACCTCGATTCTGACATTCTACCGCACATTTACTACACATTTCACGTGTTTGTTTTCTTTCCTATTCAAAGTGGGGCTACACCAAGCTACATTTAAATTAGATCTCAATCTGGATAACAAGTAATCCTCTTTATTTCATAGCGATAAACAAATCCGGAACCGGACGACGCCAAGCATATATATATATATATATATATATATATATATATATATATATATATATATGGCGCAAAACGCGCTACCTGTTGGTTCAAGGTGCCCGCCTTGAAACTCAAAGACCACCGGGTCAAATATGCGTAGGTGAGGATGACCTCGCAGTATCCCCAGCCTGGACGTTGTGTGTGGTGGTCGCGCACCAGCGAAACGACGGTACGATGTACTCGTGCACATGACTCAGCTGGGTTCCACGCAACACACAACCAACTAACAGTGGCAAACATTGGGAAAGCGAATTACACCACACGTGATAGATAGCACATAATGAAAACTTACTGGAATAATGTCGGAAGCTGACGGACGAAGAAGACGAAACTGAGTACCGGGCTTTCTGTCACATCAACAGCTGCAATACTCGCGTTAAGATCCGGCACCTCGGAGAGCTCGGTCCAAACGGACGAAAACTGACGACATGCCGGACACCAAGGAGCAAAGCTAAAACAATGGGGAGCAACACGAAAAAAACACGCTATGCACAGGAAAAGAGGCCAGTGACGCACTGGTACGGATGGATAAGTTTAATTGCTCAATGTGTGATCGATCCAAGACGAAAGCTGTTGATCGCGGTTCAAAATCCATCAATTTAACGTCTTTCCAATTATCAGGGATTTGTTCATTTTATGAGTATATACAAAGTAGTCTGTACTGATCGGTCAGGATTATTTCCGTGGAGTAAATATGGATGGCGGTATCAGTTTTCAGATTTACCTGCCACTGTGACTGATCAATGTGAGGATTCTGCGTCTAAGGAACTCTGGGAAAATCGCGCTGACCACTCACAGCCACATTCACACACAATGTGTCAAGTGTAAACCTGAAGGAGCAAGACCGGGAGGCAGGTGGAGGAGAGACAAAATTGATTCGAAGCAGGCCCAAATTCATTTAACATGCACACCGTCCATATGAAATTGAAAGAAACGCATACCAACTAGGCTCAGACTGTAGTGAATCAATGCACGAACTGACGTTACGAGATTACTGATCCCCTCATGTGGTTAATCATTCAAAAAAGGAAACCGATAATGAGATCGAGGATAGTGGTTGTGGACGATATTCCAATAAATCGAAAACTGAGAATATCTTATTCAGGGTTGTTAGACTAAACGTAAGATTCTAGACAAATGTCTACATAGGTTTATATATCACACAACATGTTCAAATGTTTCGAACTGTCGGTAATCTTGATCGCGAAATCTATTAAAGCCAAGACGCACGCAGTCAGTGATGGACTAATGAGGATTAAACGATTTTACATCTCAGCGCTAAGTGGTGAGTGTGACCATCCCGTGGTCTCTTCTAAAGCGATGAGTGCCAAAATGACAAGAGTAGGAATGGAACTAATCATCTAAAGTGGTTTATTGAGACAAACTCGCTGCGTAGGATATTCGCACTTCCCGAGACACTCCAATTAATTTCATCACTGCGAACGTGATGTTGTAAACGCACACAGTGGACTCAGCAAACACCGAGGACCGAATGCATGAAGCCGACGAAGGGGATTAACGTAAATCGACGAGGATTCAAAGCCACATAACTTATTGCGAGTAATGGTGTGGTAAATCGTGCTCTAAGCGAAAGAAATGCCTACCGACAACACAAAAGTCTCAGGTTGGCAGACTTCGATCGGATTCCGGTTACGAAAGGAATCACTCAAGATCCCACATTGCTGGTAGCAGGAACGGTTCCCAAGACGCTTGTCCCCTTGTTGAAACTATGCATCAGCGAATCAACAGAATCGAGTACTAATACCGGAGGAGCAATTTCACGTTGAAGAGACAAGGGATACCCCATACATAGGTGCATTAATAGCCAGACGGGCCAAAATGAATCGCATAAGTTTGGGGCTGTTATCGGGCAGATAAGCGTTAGCGACACAAACTGTCAAAATCATTGCCGTCTGAAATAGGCCAAACGTCTAAATTATGGAAGCTCTGCAAGGACCTCAACATAACATCCAAAAGCACATAGCCAAAAAGAACATCGCAATAATCAACAGCAATATATCAGTTATTTGAAATGATGCTTCACTTCCGTACAACCACAACGACCTGCGTAACGAAGAACAATAAGAGAGAAAAGAGGACTTACAAGAACACTGTAATGCCATAAGCAAACATTTGGGGTCAAGGCGCCTACACCTTGTCAACAACATACCATCCCAAACAGCCGGCTGTTGTGCAAAGATAAGGCGCCATCACCGCGACAGGTTTCTTGCGGCTTTCACTGCTCCGCGTCATAATCAGCCATTATCCCGCAAGTATCTCAGCACCGGTGGCCGGCGGCCGAGTGCTCTGCACGTTTGCTTTGCAACCATAAGGTCACCGGTTCGAATCCGCGTAGGTGTGGGCTTCCTCGCGGTATACTCAGTCCGCGTGCGACTGGTGGTGGTCGCGCGGCAGCGAAGCGCCGTTACGCCGTACAGCTGACACACACGCATCTCAGCACCAAACACTTTAAACAGGTAGTCCGACTGTGAGCAATGTCCTGCAAAGTCTCCAACCAAACACAAAGCGAGTCACGTGGACTCCAGTCTGGAAGGCGAGACGAACCGACGTCACCGAATTTGGTCGTCAGTGACTTCACTTCCCGCTGTTAAGTCAACTTCTATCCACCTCGAACGTCGCGCCATCCTACATTTAGCAGCTAAACAAGGTCTTCCTCGGTAAGCGGTGGCCGGGTATACGTATTACGTGACCAAGCCAATGCAACTTATTCATTGATATCTGTTGTGCTAACGAACTATTATGATTATCACTGCCTAGCACTCGCCTATGCACATCATCGTTGCGAGCATGCTGGTGCCACTCGACACCAACAATGCTTCATAGACAGCGGTGATCGAAGACTTGAAAGTGCCCCCGTACACGTGCGGAACCAACGCAAGTCTGCCAACCCAGTAATGGCTCATAGCCGAACAACGCAAAGACATCAGTACACACAGAGCTGGTAACACGCAACGTGTATTTTGGTAAGAACGTGTACAGGGCATCGATCAAGTGGCTGAAGCCAAGCCACTGGTGAGTGGGTGATGGATAGGCAGACATAAACGCGCACATATAGAGACAGTCAATGCCGGGTGTGAAGATCTGACTTGCGATAGTGACTCATACGACATACGCCTCGTCAGTCCCCAAATAGCATTGTAACGATCAACTGGGTGGCGTACTCTAGCGGAGAGGCGTATTGATTGAACTTGGCTGGCTCGCCGAACAACCTCATCGTGCTGCAAGCTGGGTGGTTCGGGATTTTCACCATTCAGTGAATGGTCCGGCGGCAGTGTTCCAGGACGCGGTGGGTTTTCGCCTGGCAAGCGCTCTCATTATAAAAAGCCACATATGTCCGTTTAACAACACTGTGACGTGGCGAATGGAACTCGACATTAAGTAAAGTCACTGCCCCTTGCTTCATCCTGACGAAAGATTGTATTCCAGCAACTGCATGAAGTTATTCAGGGGAGCATTCGGTCCCTGTTTGACCAAAGAACGAAAGGCGTAGGAACTAAGCAATCAATCACCGGATCCCAATAGGCGCGATTCCTTGAATCCGCTCCGATGCCTAGCTGGCAGGCTATTCGGCCAAAGGCTCGGGGTGGCGTCCCTCAAGTCAACATCCTACATCGGCTTGGGCAAATGGGTAGCATCTCACCCACTGACGACATTATGGACTCCGATATATTGCGTTGTGCATTCTTTTATGATTTCTGTACCATATTTTTATTCCCATGGTTTCTGATGGCTCAATCCCTATTCGTAAACGGCTGCTATATATATATATATATATATTTGCTTGGTGGCATCCGGTTTCGGATTTGCCTCTCACACTGGCCAGCCACATGACGCCTGCGCATGCAGAGGGACCATGGATGGATCGCGCTGCACCACCTACAGCTCCATCCACACACCCCATATCCAGTGTAAACCCGGAGGAATAAGACCAAGAGGCATGTGGATGGAAGCCACGTTTCATCAACAGAGCCGGCCCACACTCCTTCACAGGCAAACACAAGCACGCTGTATTTGGGGATCAATCGCGCACAATGCGGTGGCTGGACGGTAGTCCGCTCCACACTAAGTGCATGGAATCACTCTTCGAGCCCGGCACGACCACAAGGACCGTGCACCACATCCCCTCCAGCAACAACCAACTGTCTCCTGGAGCCATTATGAACGTAGTGGGTAGTAGACAGGTAGACACCTTGTGAACATGCACATCAAGCGCAGCCACAATGGGTATGTCAAACAACAGCCAATCACTTGTAATGACATTATCAAATAAAATACATCAGTTAAAGCATACAACTATGCCGCCGTAATCCTTCTCTAAATTACCATATGAAGTAAGTTAGTTAGCAACGAATCCGCGAAAAGTAAGAAATGTTCAGAAGTGACTCAAAAAATGATAAAAACCCAACAAAGTTAACGAAGGTAACCACGATTAGCGTTAGCAACGTGTGCAAGCTAATAGAAGATATTTCATGCAGGCGGAACAAACTAAATAAAGTGGTATGAAATTTATCTAGCTTAAAAAGACCTAGTTTAAGTTGATTTAGCCCATTTGTGGTGAAGGAGCATTCTGAATGCAACATCAGCCTCGGCATGGGGCACCTAGAGCTATCATACCACCTGGGTTATGACAATATGTTCTGGAGAAACTACGCGAAGCTCACTCGGGTATCACCAGAGTGAAAGTGCTCCCGCGGTCTTACGTGTAGTGACGCGACATCAATAGCCCGACAAACCATAGGAGGGCATACATGCAGACTACTTTGGTCCGCTGATGGGAAGATGTTTCTTCTTATGGTCGGTACCTAATCTAAATGGATTGAGGTATTTCCACTAACACACGTCACTTCGAAGGCAACTATTTCATGCATGCGAACATGTTTTAGCACATTCGGCATTCCACAACTGCTAGTGACAGATAACAGCTCTGTATTCATTAGCCAATAATTCCAAAATTTCCTTCGTAATAACGGCATCAAACATGTGAATACCGCCCCCTCTCACCCAGCTTCAAATGAATAACATAAAGACCAGTCCAGACAGTAAAAAAGGAATTGCAGTGAGAATCACGCGCTCCACTCCTAACGAGGTTGGTCCAATTTTTTCGCTTACCACTCCAATCCGATAGAAACGACAGGTAAGAGTCCAGCCGAACTGATGTTCGGTCGAAGGCTTAAGACGTGGCCAGACCTACGCTTTTCTGATCAAAAAAAAAAAAAAAAAAAGAAAAAAAAAAAAAAAAAAAAGACAACGCGACTCACAGTCTGTGTG